AGATTAAGGCCTTGCGGTTGACTCATTTCTTTTTATCCTCATCCCATGATTGTGGCATTGTGAGAAAGAGAGCATCCTCCAGATCAAGCTGGGCTGAAACGGCCGGCATCTTGATTTGCCATAACATAAAATTTGTCTTCCTATCGAGTTGATGATGCTCCACCTTCGTTGATGCCATGAGACCTTCGAACCAGCTCTGATACTACTTGTTGCAAGAACAGAGTGGATATGTTGAAGGTCGATAGAAATGGTTGCGAGAAGAAGATAGACTTCAAGGTAAAAAGACAATCTCAATATGAAACAAAGTTCATACGACGATAAAATAGGACAAAGTTCAAGAGCAAATCACAAAAAAAATAAATGTTCCAAGAGCGATAACAAGGCCTCAGTAATAGAGGAATCGAAATAAGAATCTCTCAAATTACAAGGAGGAAAGATCAATGAAAAAATGGGGTTACAATAATGATGGTGTCTACTCCATTTATAGGCACCACGATCATCTTCAAAATCTGGAAAACCCACCTTGAGATAGATTGTTTCTATATTAGCCTCCATAACGTGTGCTCTATCATTCCGCTCCGTAACGTGTGCTCTGTCATTTTGTTCTACTGAAACGGTCAGAAATTAATTAATTCAAAACATCTTTTGTCTCTAACACCTTGATTCTGATGGCCATTCGATCCCAAAGACGATCCCGTGAAAACTGGGATCGAGTTGCCATGGTTGATGCAGGACATGCGTTCTTATTCCACAGTGCGAAGGGTTAAACTTTTGGGTTCCTAGACATCCAGCCAATTTAAAAGACGCGTGTAGGGGATGCGTGGTTCAGTCTCGTCCGACTACGTCATAAGACTTGATAGGAGAGAGGGAGGAGGATGCTTGAGAGACTGTCGTGCTTGATTCTTCTAGAACGTCGGCATGATTACGGGAAGAAGTCTTCTGATGCTGTCCTCCAGAGATCCCGCCTAATTAAAATATTGCGGAAGGGTGCGCCAATTCAAAGTTTCCAGGGTTTGACAAATTCCATGCCGACGGCGACCGACCATACAGCGACCCGACTTGAACTCGATACTTTCTGGCTTGGCCTGTTTTGTCCCTCTTCCGTGGGGACGTGTTTGGTGTCATATAGTGAGAGAACGCAGAGGAGATTCTGAAGAGTACGTTCGAGTATTGAGCTAAAGATATGGACGAAATGATACGTTTTCATAGGGCCGTTCATTTCTTCCACCTCTCTCTTCCTCCCTATCACTGTGCGCCCCCGCCCCCCCTCTCTCCTCTCTCTCTCTCTCTCTCTCTCTCTCTCTCTCTCTCTCTCTCTCTCTCTCTTAGTATCGAAGCACTTCTGGGAGCTCAACTAGTTTAACCACAGAGGTAAGTGACATCGAGAATAGGCTTGGGGGTTAGAGAAAGCTTAGGGCATGACCAAATTGCTATAAATGTTCCTTGGTATTGTTTTGTTCAATTTCGCATGAACGCTCCTAAAGATGAACACAGCAACTCAGCAAGTCTAGAAAAACCTGATATGGTAGAATTGTATTATAGTGCTATGTGGACTAAGATTTTCATTTTAGAATTTCTTCAATTTATTAATGGGTCCAAAGTAACCATAATCTCTTAAAACGTATGATTTGTACCATACTAAATAATTATAACTATAAATCTGGACACTTTGGCTACCAGTTCGTGATTTTTCATCCAATTACTTTCTCTCTCTCTCTCTCTCTCTCTGTGACTGTGTGCATGTGTGTGTGTGTCTCTCTCTCCAAAACAAAAACAAACTTTTCCCGAGATGAAGATCGTTCAATGGTGCCTAAGATGAAGACGGTCTTCAAGTGTCAGTTCCTCCATTCCGTGTCACGAATCGCGTCTGGCGAGGGTGATGGAGTAAGCCGCAATTCTTTTTCTCTTTGTTTGTTTGTTCGTAGACTAACAGTATGTTGACCAAGCCATAATATTAAGAAATCACAAGATGAGCCGTCGCGAAGCTACACTAAAAGTTTTATATTAAACGTGAGGCACCCTGTGAACCGCACCTCTCCTGGTTCTTCCTGCTCGCCGCGTTATTCGGACGAGAACGAGCGTGAGCCATGAGGTTTGAAGGGTTCTGAGTATCCCACCTTTCTGGGTGAACGTAGCAGTGACCTGTTACTCCAGGGAAGGCAAATCCAAGCTTTCATCTACCCTCTCCAAAGGATCTAACTCCTTGAATCTTAAATTTCTCATGATATCTCTACGGGTAGTGTTTGTTGATGCGGCATTATCAAGAATGCGTCAGGATCATGAAGGCCTGGGTTTCTGAGATTCATTTGCTGGACACCGCCTATGGTTCCATCTGTTTGATCTTCCAGATCTGCAATACCGACGCGGCCGCCAAAGAAGCCTCGTGAGGATGAGGGTGATGTGCCACGTGTCCTCCTCGACAGCACAAGGTGGCCTAGGGTACAAATTCCGTGTCAAGTCTGAAAGGGTAGAGAGGAACGTTTACGTATTGAATCTTCCTCATTGTCTAATTTCAACGTATTCAATCCTTTGGCCAGGAATCAAGGGGCAAAGATGTTGATCAAAGATCTGACTGCGGAGGAAATATGGAAATATGCTTTATATACTTTTCTAGATTATGTTGTGTTATGTAGAGAACATCATTTGATGATTTCTTTCCTCAAAAAAATATAGAATATGGGTTTTGCATTCTAGCTGTGTGATTGGAGGTGAGATGATCACCTAAAAACCTTGGCCAACTTATCCCTTGATTTGTGTTACTGTGGGAGTCATCTAAGTAAAACACTATTACTGTTGTGCCCTAATAGTTGGATGGTTTTTCGGTGAAAATAGAGCATGAAATGATATTTGATTGATTTTAGAGACTTTACAACTTTGTTGTTGAGAAAATATATAAAAACTAAAATAGTGACTTTACCCTACTAAAATTACAAGAGTAGGTTCAATATAACTATTAGATTGATTATTGACTTGTGATGTCTTAATCAATTTTTAGTACAATAGTCAGCTGATGATTAAAGTAAGGACACCAAGGGTAAAATAGTAGTTTCACATTTATGATTGCTTTCTAAACATATGCCAAACTTTGTAATAGAATTTGGGCTTGCAAGTTTATATAGACACTTTTTCATAAAAGTAAAACAACTCAAATAATATGTGAATTTATTGTGTTATGAGAGTGAGTTGACTTATGAAGATACTTTCACTCTTCAACAAATAAGGAAATGAGTCTACTCATCTAATAAGAAAAATTGATTTATCATCAAAAGGGTAAGTTGACTCATCTAAGAACAACTCACCATAGTTTAAGTATTTACAATGGTAAAATGATACTTTAATATTACAGAAATATTCCAACAACTTATTGACGTTTGATTAAAACTTTAAAACTTTTGTATAAATTATAAAGTAAAATTTTAATTCTAGAGCTTATCTTTTACAAACTTTTATGTTTTATTCTTCCTTGCACAATATGACTCATACTTCAACTTTGATGCATAGAATGAAGTTGAGTGTTACAAGAAAAAATAGTAATGATACAAACTTTTGTAGCATATAAAGATGAAACCCTCCAATCATAAAAAAAAATTCACTTAAGAAACTCATTTTCACCCTTATTTTCAAGCATGTAGGTGACTCCTTTCTAAAAGATACTTATGCACCTTTGGCCCAAATAATTGATGACACTAGAAGTTATGTAAAAATTTTTAGATCACATATTTATTATTGTCTCTCATTTCAGTACTTATAATACTAAGCTTTACCTAGAAATGTGAATCAAAAAGAAACTAGTTAAGTGCTAATTTGGTTGATTTGCATAATCATGAATCTAGGAGTATTTTAAGAAAAAGAGCACTTAATATAAATTATTAAAATGTGAAACTAGCTGAAGGTTTTATGTTCAACTTCTATACTAATGAAAGTTAGAGGTGTTGGGTTTGATGTGACTACATGAAATACCAAGAGGAGGAAGTGAATTAGTTTCCTACATTTTCTATTTTATTCTTTTGTTCTGTCCACATATGTATTTGTCAACACAGGTTCTCACATTGTTGTGTACAGGTTTTTCCAACTCCATCTTCCTTTCTATGTAGTGATCTCTTAAATTACCATTGTAATTAAAGCTTAGATGGACCAAATTTAAATTTACAAATTAGAAATTAATGTAAAAATATTATATGATATATTGGTGAATATCTAGGTTGATTATAGGGACAATTAAAAATTTGAATTAATTGTTGCAAAAGGTGTCATTGAGAAGGATGAATATTAAGGTGAGATGATTAGAGAAAAATACATAGTTTCACTTAGAAATCGTGATGAGGGTGTTTTCATAGTGATACACTAAGATAATTAATATTAGAAGAGGAACCAAGAGGTTACTATTCTGATGAACAAACCTTGATTTAAAGATTTCGAGTTTAACAATTAAAAATATTTATTAAGGTACACCAAAAATCAATAAAAAGTTGAGATGAGTCATAATTAGCAATAAAAAGAAGTGAAGAATAAAGATCAAAGAAGTCCTCAAACTAAGTGTGGGACATTTTCACTCATGAATCACCCCTCATGAATTCACAAGTGTCAATTAGAACATGCACCTTCTAAGGAATATGTTTGATTGGTGTGGCATCCATCACTCACCCCAAGCTTGAGCAAGTGTTACGTCACATGATGGTGCTGACCAAGATGTATCCGAATTCACAAAGAATGATCTTCCAACTGTGCTTCATTTGATGATGAGGGAAGAGACAAGAATTTCATAATATTTCATTGGATAGGAAGACGAAAAAATAGACTCCAAATGTGTCTTTGGAGTGAAGAAATAAGAGAATAGCATGTCTTCTAGAGAGGCTCAAAAACCTCATTCAAAAGTCTATAACAAGATTGTCCACGTAATGAATAATTTTTAGAGGTAAAACACTTCCATCAACCTCTTGATGGAGTCTCTTTTCATGAAGAAAGTGTTGAAAGAGAGTTCATGACATGAAGGGGTATATATGGAAGGCTATGCTGGTGGTTTTTGCTCTCCCTTCCATCAAGCTTCTCTTTCAAAGCCTCATGAATGGTTGAGAGGTATTATGACTCGTGAAAATTAAGCTAACTATCTTTTCTTTTTTTTTTCTATTTTGATTTGTCATATCATCTTCTCCTTCTTCATTTCTTGCAATTAATACACATTGTTGACATGAGAGATGAAAACCTTGGAATCCATATAGTCTCAAAAGATAGAGTACATGACTCTTATATAGGAGAGAGGAGAGATGAGAGAGAGATAGATAATGGGCCATAGTAGACCTGGAGTCTGATACTACTATCGAACACCTCCTTTTAAGTGGAGCATATAAGTTAAATATGTTCAACTTGGTACACGTGGCGTTGTAGGAGATACTGGCTAGACTCTTCATAAAGATGTCTACAAGTTGATGAGATGATGTTACATGAGGAGTAAAGATAAGTCTAAATATAACCTTATCTCGAATGTAGTAATAGTCGATCTCAATATATTTCGTACGCTCATGAAAGATGAGATTACTAACAATAAAGATGGCAGCTTGATTGTCGCAATACATAGGTATTAGGGAGGGAGAAACAATGCAGAGATCGTCTAGAAGTGATCAAAGCCATACCATTTTCTACGTTGTCTCAATCATGGCTTGATACTCATATTCTGTACTGGAGCAAGACACCACACTCTATTTCTAGGACCGTCAGGTGACTAGGTTACTGCCGACGTATGTGTAACAATCTAAGGTAGACTTTCTGTTGCCCTTGTCAGTTGCATACCTAGTGTCAGAGTAAGCTGTAATGTAGAGATGGCCGTGTCGCCGATAGATGATCCCTTTCCCTAGAGATCATTTGATATAAGTGAAGACTCGTAGAGCTCCCTCCCAATGAACTCATTGAGACTCTTACATAGACTGGCTCAAGACACTAACCATGTACATGATGTCAAGGCGAGTAATAGTGAGATATATCAACTTGTCTAACAATAGTCGATACCGGTTAGTATCCTTGAGTAAGGGAGATGAAGTGTCCTAGAACTAGGGGCGAGCTTCCATGGAAAGTCTCCAGCTTACACCTAAGGAGACTTATCTCCTAAAGTATGTTGAGGGCATACTTCTGTTGAGTGAGGGTGAGCTTCCCATCTTGATATGCAAACACAATCTCAAAGAAATACCATAGAGTCTCCAAGTCATGAATGCTGAAGTGTTGCTGCAAGTAAGCTTTAATAGTAGAGATGTTGACCTCATCACTTCTAGTCACAAGAATATCGTTGACATAGACTGCAAGGATGACAAGGTTGTCCTCTGTCTTCTTTGTGAGCACGGTGGGGTCCACAGTACAAGAGACGAAGTTGAAAGTGATGAGTAAACCACTAAATTTGACGAACCAAACACGTGGACTTTACTTGAGCCCATAAATAGTGATGGCAAGCGGGACCCGTCTCCATCAGCTCAGGAGACACCGGCAGTCCGAGTTCAGCCCGATCGATGCACGAAGACGAAAGAGCCTGGCTTTCACTACACGGCCTAGCCCTTTGGGACAACGACATTCCACCTTTGCGACGACGACGAGCTTGAGCTCACCCATATCTTTCTTTGTATTTTCACGTTGGCTTGTTGGGCCTCGCGTTTGTGTGTTAGCAGACCCAATTCTATGTGTGTGTGTTGTTGTTTGTCTCTCTTACTTTAGGGTTTTATTGGGTCTTTCTTTGAGGCCCAATTAAAACCCTAAGGGGGGGGGACCTATGTGTCTTTCTTTTTTTGGGCCTCTTTTGGGGCTTATTTGGGTCTTTATTTGAGGCCCACTTAAGCACCGTAAGAGGGCCCTCCTCTTTCTCCTTTTAGGGGAGCTTATTGGGTCTCTCTTTAAGAGGCCCAATAAGCCCCTTTTTGTAGCCTTTGTGGCTTATGGGCTTGAGGGTCTCAAGTGGGCCCACCTCGCCTTAGCCCACTTGTGGGCCCCCATATAATGGGAGGTAAGACCCCCTCTCAAGGAGGCGCCGTATTTTTTTGAGAGAAATTATCGTTGTGAGTTATCTTCCTCGTGACCTAGAATAGGGAGGGAAGGAGGAAGAGGAAGGCCGTCGATACCCCCTTTGAGGACTTCGTTTCTCGTGACGCTGCTGCCCGAGAAGTCCCGCTGCCGCCTGAGACCACTGCCGCCGCCGGCCATCTCATTGCCGCCCGGGAGCTCGCCGCCGTCACCGGACGAAACGGTCGCGGTTGCCGCTGCATCCGCCGCCGCCTCTGCTGGAACCCCGTCACGCCGCCGTGACGAAAGGGGCTCGCTTCGCCTCCCCCGAGCCGTCGCCGAGCACGCCGCCGGAGTCTCTCGACTCCCGGTTCGACTGCCGCCTCTTCCTCCGGAACTCCACCATAAATTCGCCGGAGCCGCCCTCCGCCGCTCCGCCCAGTCGCTGGCCGTCGCCGACGAACGCCGACCTGCCGCCGACGTCGGAAGAGTCCCCGCAGCCGTGCTGACGAGCCAGAACCGGTCCCAGCTCCTCACAGGCCCCCGCCGGATTTTCCCGACGCTCCGCCGCCGTCGCGCCGTTTCCGGCGCCGCTTAGACCAGGAGAGCTCAACCCTCCCTGGTATCGTCGGCCGGATCGTCTCCTCTCTGCTCCACTTCCCGGCGCCGCCAGAGAGGCCGATCCTTCCGGTGACGGTTGGGTTTCCGCCCCAACCGCTGACGCTCGGCATTCCCGCCGAAACGCCGCTGACGCTCGGCATTCCTGCCGAAGAGCCGCTGACGCTCGGCCTTCCCGCCGAACGTCGACGCTCGGCATTCCCACCGAAGCGCCGCTGACGCTTGGCATTCCTGCCGAAGCGCCGCAGACGCTCGGCCTTCCCGCCGAAGCGCTGCCGCCGCGTGCGCCCCGCGCGCCGGCTCTTGCGGCCCGCGCGGCCACCCGGCGCCACTGCCCGCGTGCCCTAGGGCACGCCGCACGACTTGCCGGGCACGCCCGCTAGCGTGCCCTTTGGCCCACCTGCAGGCCCACGCCCACGCCGATTGTGCCACGCCCTAAGACGACGACTTCCGTGACTCTCGACCAGGACCGACCATCAACGCTGAGCATCGCTCTTCACCGGACGTCCCTGCCTTCGTCGGATCTCCGCTCCGTCACGACCCGCCGGGCTACGCAGCCTGAAGGTTAGCTCCGTACCCCTTCTTACTTAAGTTTAATTATCTTTCGAAGGGTTTTCTCGGCTCGTCTCTACCACCTTCAGGAGCACGTAGACAGGATAGGATAGGTTATCGGATCGTGACTTCTGACGCTGCGCCAGACTCGTCACAGTTCGTGAGCTGCAGCCCTAGGCTACTTCACAACGACAGTTCTGCCGTCTGTCTGGACGTGGACCGAGAGGGCCTCTCACTCACCATCGTCGAGTGTTTCCCTGGGTTGTCCTGGGATGATCACGCATATTGGTACGCCTACCTATGCTTAGGTTACGAGGTCAGACCTAGAGTCTAGGGTCCAAACCTTCTTATTAGATCGGTCCGACTGCCCCATCATGGGACTCGAGTTTCATTGATCAGGTACAAGGGGTTCTCGCCCCGTCCTACATCAAATAGCCTGCTGTAAGAGACACATTTTCGATGACTCTCCTTGAGTGATATACTTAAGAGGTTGCTCCATAAAGACCTACTGATAAGTCTTTATTATCATGAGTTAATAATTAGTAAATAATATAGTTTTAGCCTTAACTCATGATAAATAGACTTATATTTGTGTTAAAGTGTGAAAAGTGGTTTTCAATTGATTAACATGAATTTTTGGGTAATTATGTGATTTTATACGAATTTATATGATTTTTACAGTCTTACTTTTGAGATAAATGAAGGAAAAGAAATTAAAATAAAAATATTGCAAAATGGGGGGACCTGTTGGCCAGCCGGACCCGCAAGTGGGTCGGAAGCGTAGTCGGGGAGGAGCCGTGAGTAGGGGCTCGAGCGGCTTGTACCGATAGGGGCACGTGTGCACCACTCCCCTTTCACGTCACCGGTGGCCAGCCGGTTGTGGGGCAAGGAGTGGTCGTATATGCACGAGAAAGGGACTTTGCTTAGAAATGTAACATTACTATATATTCGCCCGAAAATTCAGCGCACAGCTGATGTAGGACTAAACCCGTCACCTTCCTCAGAAGAGGCGGGGCAACCGGCGCGGGTTCGAATCCTCCTAGAGCCAAAACTCATATTTTTATCTGATTATCGTGACTGTCCTGTAGATCGCCGGTGAAGGATTAAGCAACCAGAATCACTGGATCATCGGCGAAAATCTCGTCAACGCAATTTACGGAGCATTGTTACTAAAATTACTGAAGGATTCGCGATAAAAGGATCGCAAATCCATCAAGTAAATCATCTCCAATTGATCGACGAACAAGCTGTCGTTAGGAAGAGGACGATCTGCCGGGAGATGAGTCGCCACCTCCTGAGAGCATACCAGATGCGATGAAGAGCCTCCTCTTACTGCACGGACTTGAGGATGAAGTTTCCTAACACGCGCCCCACCTCCATCCAGCTCCTCTCCGTCGGGTGACAGCCGCCGGAGAGCCGCAAAGTCGCCATTTTTCCGCTCCGCCAGGTGACAGCCGCCGGAGACGAGTCGACAACCCATTTCATTGATCTCTAGATTTCGAAAGGAGATCTAGAGATTGCCCACGTTGTCTTTGTCCAAGGAGAGCCTTCGAGGCTGTGGACACTACACGACGATCCTTCTAAATGCTCAAGATTCCGGTGTATCGCCGATGCATCACCGCCGCGACACCGAAATTCTATTTTCTTGCTTTCAACTTACTTTACGCTTCATTTAGTGATAATTTGTGTGATTTTAATTTACCAAAATATACTTCATTCACTTACGATTCTTCTAGCTTTTATAGATCTTAATTTGATCAATTAAATCGTCTGTAATTACTTACGTAAGAATCGTTGGGCGGAACTCTGTTTTCGCCCGATTCGCATTTGCCGAGCACTAATGTCATCCTAACGTCCGCACCCTTATTTCCTTTTTTCGTGAATTTTAAATATATTTCCTTTTCATTTCTTAGTATAAAATTCATGGAAAATAGTATTATTTGAAGAAAATTCTGAATAATTACCAGATATTATATTACATCCTTGTGATCGACTTGGAAAATTATTGCTATTTTTGAAAAGTTTTATTGAATTATAATTGATATATTTGTGCATAAATACTTCTAAACATCCAAAAAATCGTATTTTCTAGTTTTATAAATTTTAGATTTGTGTGATTTAATATACAACGACTAAGTCACGTCACCTACTTCATGAGATCACCGTAGAGAAAGACATTCGTAACATCTAACTATTGGAGAGACCATGCCTGATTGACAACGAGAGAGAGAAGCATACTGACAGAGTTAAGGTGGATGACATCAGAGAATGTTTCAGTGTAGTCAATCTCATATGCTTGTGTGAAGCCCCAAGAAATCAAATGAGCTTTATAACGTGTGATGGAGTCATCTGAGTGACACTTGATGATGGTAAACACCCACTTGCACATCCTAATGTAACATCAGTCGGGTGCAGAATCAAATCTCAAGTCCCTCGAGTAACCAACATAGCTACCTCTAAATCTATGGTCACCTTCTATGCAAGCACTTGTGCAGCCTCAACATACGATCGTGGAAGCAACTTGGAGGCTATGGAGAGGGCAAAGGCACGAAAAGAGAGAGAAAGGTAGTCATAAGAGATAAACTGGGAGATGGGATGGTAGGTGCAGGCGCGTGTACCTTTGTGGAGGGTAATAGGGAGATGAAGATTATTAGGTGGAGCAATGATTGAATACATGGAGGGGATTGTAGGAGAAGAAGAGGAGGATACTACATTCGGAGTAGAAGGAGCCATAGGAGACATGGGTCGAAGAGAGGTGGGCGGGGGTAATAGCTTCAAAGAGAGTGGACAGGAGGGAAGAGAAGAGGGAGGGTCCATAAGAATCATCAAGGGAGGGAACCTAAGTGGAGGAGATGTAGTGGCTTGAGGAAGAGGAGTCAAAAAAGGAGAGAAGAAAGGAGACTCCTTATGGAAAGTAATGTTGGCCGAGGTCACTGACGTGACTTAGTCGTTGTATAGTAAATATCACGCAAATTTAAAATTTATAAAACTAAAAAATACTAATTTTTAGATATTTAGAAGTATTTCTAAACAAATATATCAATTATAATTTAATAAAACTTCCAAAAATACTGGTAATTTTCCAATTGATCATAGGGATGTAATATAATATTAGGTAATTTTTCAGAATTTTCCTCAAAGAATATGATTTTCTATGAATTGTATACTATGAAATAAAAATAAAATATATTTAAAATTCACAAAAAAAGAGAAATAAGGGTGCAGACGTCAAGATGACGTCAACGCCTGACGAATGCAAATTGGGCAGAAATAGAGTTCTGCTCGACGATTCTTACGTAAGCAATTACAAACAATTTAATTGATCAAATTAAGATTTGTAAAATCCGGAAGAATCATAATTGAATGAAGTATAACTTGGTAAATTTAAATCATACAAATTATCACTAAATGAAGTGAAAATTAAGTTGAAACCAGGAAGATAGAGTTCCGGCATCGCGGCGACAGTGCATTGGCAATGCACTAGAATCCTAAGCGTTCGAGAGATCGTCGTGTAGTGTCCACAGCCTCGAAGGCTTTCTTTAGACAAGGATGACGTGGGCAATTTCTAGATCTCATAGCGAAGTCTAAAGATCAATGAAATGGGTCATCAAATTGTCTTTGTCGACTGTCACCCAACAAAGCAGAAAAACAACGACTTTGCGGCTCTCCCGCGACTGTCACTTGACGGAGAGGAGCTGGATGGTAGTGGGGCACGTGTCAAGGAGCTTCATCCTCAAGTTCGTGCAGCAAGAGGAGCCTCTTTGACGTGACTTAGTCGTTGTATATTAAATCACGCAAATATAAAATTTATAAAACTAGAAAATATGAATTTTCAGATATTTAGAAGTATTTCTGAATAAATATATCAATTATAATTCCATAAAACTTCCAAAAATAGCGGTAATTTTCCAGGTCGATCACAGGGATGTAATATAATATCTGGTAATTATTCAGAATTTTCCTCAAAGAATACTATTTTCTATGAATTTTATACTAAGAAATGAAAAGGAAATATATTTAAAATTCATAAAAAAAAAGGAAATAAGGGTGCGGACGTCAGGATGATGTCAGCACCCAGCGAACATGAATCGGGCAGAAACAGAGTTCCGCCTGACGATTCTTACGTAAGCGATTATAGATGATTTAATTAATCAAATTAAGATCTGTAAAAGCCGGAAGAATCGTAATAGAACAAAGTATATTTTGGTAAATTAAAATCACAAAAACTATCACTAAATGAAGCGTAAAGTAAGTTTGAAAGCAAGAAAACAGAGTTCCGGCGTCGCGATGGCGATGTGTCGACAATGCACTGGAATCCTGAGCGTTCGGGAGGATCGTCATGCAGTGTCCACGGCCTCGAAGGCTCTCCTTGGACAAAGACGACGTGGGCAATCTCTAGATTTTCTCGCGAAGTCTAGAAATTAATGAAATAGGTCGCCGAGTCGTCTCCGGCGGCTGTCACCCAGCGGAGTGGAAAAATGGTGACTTTATAGCTCTCCGGCGGCTGTCACCTGACGGAGAGGAGTTGGATGGAGGTGGGGCACGTGTCAAGGAGCTTCATCCTCAGGTCCGCGCAACAAGAGGAGGCTCTTCATCGCATCTGGTACGCTCTCAGGAGGTGGCGACTCGTCTCCCGGCAGATCGTCCTCTTCCCGACGACGGCTTGTTCGTCGATCAATCGGAGATGATTTACTCGATAGATTTGTGATCCTTTTATCGCGAATCGTTCAAAAATTTTAGTAACAATCCTTTGCAAATTGCGTTGACGAGATTTTTGCTGATGATGAAATTTTAGTAGCAATGCTCCACGAATCGCGTTGACGAGATTTTCGCCGATGATCCAGTGATTCTTGTTGCTTAATCCTTCACCGGTGATCTGCAGGAAAGTCACGATAATCAAATAAAAATATATGAATTTTGACTCTGGGAGGATTCGAACCCGCACCGATTGTCCGCCCCCTTCTGAGGAAGGTGTGACGTAGATTTAGTCCCACATAGGTTGTGCGCCGATTTTTCGGGCGAATATATAGTAATGTTAGCTTTCTAAGCAAAGTTCCTTCTCTCGTGTGTACGACCACTCCTTGCCCCACAGCCGGCTGGCACCGGTGACGTGGAAGGGAAGTGGCGCACACGTGCCCCTATCGGTCCAAGCCGCTCGAGCTCCTGCTCGCGGCTACTCCCCAACTGAGCTTCTGACCCGCTTGTAGGCCCGACTGGCCGGCGGGTCCCCTCATTTTACAATATTTTAGTTTTATTTCTTTTTCTTCATTTATCTCAAAAGTAAGATTGTAAAAATCATATAAATTCGTATAAAATCACATAATTACCCAAAAAATCACATTAATCAATTGAAATCACATTAACATAAATATAAGTCTATTTATCATGAGTTAAGGCTAAAACTATATTATTTACTAATTATTAACTCATGATAATGAAGACTTATCACGTAGTGACAGGTATCAGAGAGTAAACCCAATAGCCCTTTTTACGTGCGGAAGTAGCCAATAAAGACCGCTTTAAGAGCATAAGGGGCAAGTTTAGAAAGAGATGGAGATGAATCCTAGATGAAAGTGGTTGACATGACTTAGTCGTTGTAGAGTAAATCATGTAAATTTAAAATTTATAAAACTAGAAAATATTAATTTTTGGATATTTAGAAGTATTTTTAAACAAATACATCAATTATAATTCAAAAAAACTTTAAAAAATAGTGGTAATTTTCTAGGTCGATCACAATGATGTGATATAATATCACATAATTTTTTAAAATGTTTCTCAAAGAATACAATTTTTTTATAAATTTGATGCTACAAAATGAAAATGAAATATATTTAAAATTCACAAAAAAGGGAAATAAGGATGCGGACATTAGGATGACGTTAGCACCCGATGAATGCGAATCGGGTGGAAATAGATCATGGTGGTGATGCATCGGCGATGCACCGGAATCCTAAGCATTTGGGAGGATCGTCATGTAGTGTCCACAACCTCAAAGGCTCTCCTTAGGCAATGACGACATGGGTAATCTCTAAATCTCCTTGCGAAGTCTAGAGATCAATGAAATGAGTCGTCGAATCATTTTCAGTAGCTGTCATTTGGTGGAGCGAAAAAATGACAACTTTACAACTCTTCGGCGGCTGTCATCCGACAAAGAGGAGCTAGATGGAGGTGGGGCACATGTCAGGGAGCTTCATCCTCAAGTCCCCACAACAAGAGTAAGCTCTTCATCACATTCGGTACGCTTTCAAGAGGTGGTGACTCATCTCCTGGCGGATCGTCCTCTTCCCGACGATGGCTTGTTCATCGATCTATCAGAGATGATTTACTCGATAGATTTGTGATCCTTTTATCGTGAATCGTTCAAAAATTTTAGTAACAATACTTTACAAATTGCGTTGATGAGATTTTTGCCGATGATTTATCAATTTTGGCGGCTTAATCCTTCATCGGCGATTTGTACGAAAGTCATGATAATCAGGTAAAAATACATGTTTTGGCTGTAGGAGGATTCAAACTCGCGTTGGTTGCTCGATTGCATGTGAGAGATTGAAATAAATACTCTAATGCCCTTATCAAGTGACATCATCATGATATATTTCTATTATAACGAAGAGGTAATTTAGGTATTAAAATCTTCGAAGCCTTTTAAGAAAAGGTGTGACATAGGTTTAGTCCCACATCAGTTGTGCGCTGAAGTTTTGGGTGAATATATAGTAATATCACATTTGCAAATAATGAGTCTCTTTTTCTCACGTGTAAGACCACTCCTTGCCCCACAATCGGCTGGCCACTAGTGACGTGGAAGGGGAGTGGCACACACGTGCCCTCATCGGTCCTAGCCACTCGAGCCCCTACTCACGGCTCCCCCCAACTGTGCTTCTGACTTGCTTGTGAGCCTGACTAGTTGGCGGGTCCCCCCCTTTTATTATATTTTTATTTTAATTTCTTTTTCTTTATTTATCTAAAAAATAGGACTATAAAAATCATATAAATTCTTAGAAAATCACATAATTAGCCAAAAATTCATGTTAATCAATTCAAAACCACTTTTCACAATTTAACACAAATATAAGTCTATTTATCATGAGTTAAGGCTAAAATTATATTATTTACTAATTATTAACTCATGATAATGAAGACTTATCACACCCCCCAACTTAAATCATTGCTAGTCCTTTAGCAATGGAATTACAAAAATAAAAATTCACAAATCTCAAACATCATATTTCAATGTATAAAAAAAATATAATTAGAAATGATGCACCTTTAGACACTTTAGACACTTTAGATTCTTATATCAAATATTTAAGAATGATGTCAAGCACTTGAATGTTTAAGCAGTCCTTGGAATAACAATCTAGACTTCACTTCTTCTATTCACATCTTTATCACTTCTTCACTCATAGATATATTTACAAGATGTTTTAATTATCAATACTCATTTAAGAATAATATTGATCCTATATTTTACTCTTTCCATGGCTTGATTTTTGAAGTTTGTATTATATTTCTTTTTTTTATTTTTATATAATGAATAAGTAGCTTTTCTTGTAGACAAATTTCGACAATAAGAATGATGTCTCACACCCTCCATATGTACTCTTCATTTTCAGGGCTTTCATTTTATCTACTTATTTTGCAGCAAGTATTTTTCTATGCACGATTTTTGACAATGAGAATGATGTCTCACACCCTCCATGTGTACTCTTCATTTCTAGATTTTTCACATTACTTTCTTCTTTTTTTTCAAAATAAGTGATTTCTCTTCACAAATCTTATAGATCAAGATGCAAAAATCTTCATTAAACTCAAATGATCAATCAAATTTTCACATCAAGTAAATACTATCCATCAAGATCATGAAGTGAAAATCTGTAAAATCAAATCCATATTATTTATCATGTACTCAAGGAGTATTCTAATATTTCATGCTACTAAATCATTCTTTTGACTGAATAATAATCTTCCTAGTATCTTTTGGTATCAATCAATCTAATTGATTTAATTTTTCGTGCATGCAATATGATGTAAGAAATTTGTAAATTAGATAGTTCTAATAGTTCTGCTTTTTGTTTTTAGTTCTGTTTTTAGCAACAATAAGTTTGTCAATAATAAATCAAAACTATCTTCTTTATAGCTGTAATTTCTAATTTCAGCAATATATGTTTAGGGGATTAAAATGTGAGAAAAGGGTCTCTAGAATTTCAAATTTCGGGCTGTTTTTTCTTTGCTGTTTTTGATAGTCTGTTGTTCTTGACAAAAAACTAGAAAGTAGATGCTGTAATTTTTTTGAATTTTTTTTTTAGTTACTGTTCTAAGTGAGCATGAAAAAAAAATGCAAACACATGTTCTTAATCATCCTACAGCGTAAATTAAGAATTAATATTTTACCCCTCAACTTAAAAATGACATTGTCCTCAATGACATAGAAAAATCGAAACAGAATATGTAGAAAATATAATTTTCAAGTGAAGTATGCATATATGCAAAGTTAAGCACTAAAAATATTGTCATAAATGATAAAGCTCAGAAAGACATCACCTCAACTTCGTTTTTAATTTTTCACTTCATCTTACACTCCTGCTCTTATACTTTTTGGACAAAAAAATAAATACAGAAAGAAGTAATATGAAATTTTAAGAAAAATAGAGCTTAAAAAAAAACAAAATGAAATAAAGACCATGGGTTGCCTCCCATGCAGCGTTGAATTTAATGTCTCCAGCTAGACACATTAATCTTACTCTTGAATTTATTTTAATAATAAAATTTCATTTTCTACAAGGTGTTCATGTTCTATATAATGTTTAAGCCATTGTCCATTTACCTTAAAGTTAGGATCACTTTTAGGATCTTTAATCATTACAGCCCCATGATTATATGTCTCTTCCACCACATAAGGCCTTGTCCATTTTGATTTTAATTTTCTTGGGAATAATTTTAGCGTAGAATCATATAACCACACTTTTTGTGCAACATCAAATCTTTTTCTACTAATGTATTTATCATGAAAAGGTTTAGTTTTTTCTTTATATATTCTATGATTTTCATAAGCTTCATTCCTCAATTCCTCTAGTTCATGTAATTGAAAAATTCTATGCCCACCAATTGATTCTTCATCCATACATAAATTTTTTATAGCCCATAATGCTTTATGCTCTATTTCCACAAGAAGATGACATGACTTTCCAAAAATGAGACGAAATGGAGACATACCTATGAGATTTTTATAAGTTGTTCTATAAGCTTACAATGCATCTTGTAATTTCGTGGGTCAATCTTTTCTATCTAGTCTAACTATTTTTCCTAAAATTCTCTAAATTTCCCTATTTGCTACTTCAGCTGGCCCATTTGTTTGGGGATGGTATGGAGTGGCTACTCTATGGTGTACTCCATTCTTTTCAACAGTTCTCTGAAATTTATAAAATGTGTTCCTCCATCACTAATAATCACTCTAGGACATCTAAATCTTGAAAAAATATTTTCCTACAAAAATTTCATCACGATTTTATGATCATTAGTTCTAGTAGAAATAGGTTCCACCCACTTAGATACATAATTAACGACAAGTAAAATATATTCATATTTTTCACTTGATGGGAAGGGACCAATGAAATCTATTTCCCATACATCAAAAATTTCAACGACTAACATGTTACTCATGGGCATTTTATCTTTTTTACTCATGTTACCTATAGATTGGCATGAAATACATATTATACTAAATTTTATAGAATCTCTAATGATTGTAGGCCAATAAAAACCACACTGAAAATTTTTTGTAGTTATTTTTCGTATAGAGAAATGTCCTCCACAGTTAGATGAATGGCATATGTTAAAAATGCTATGATATTCTTCTTCAAGAACACATCTCCTTAAAATTTGATCATTGGCCAAATAATATAAATCAAGATTATGCCAAAAATAATTTCTAATCTTAAAAAAGAAATGATGTTTTATATTCTTATCCCACTGTTTTGTAATTTTTTCAGAAACAAGAAAATTAACAATATGTGCATACCATGGTGATGGTTGATGTTGAGCTGTCATCAATTGTTCATCTAGAAATAAATCTTGTAAAGGTGATACATTTATTCCTATATCACTCAATCTAGAATGATGGTTAGTGACGTGACTCAGTCGTTGAATATTAAATCACGCAAATATAAAATTTATAAAACTAGAAAATACGAATTTTCGGATATTTAGAAGTATTTCTAAATAAATATATCAATTATGATTCAATAAAACTTCCAAAAATAGCGGTAATTTTCCAGGTCGATCACAGGGATGTAATATAATATCTGGTAATTATTCAGAATTTTTCTCAATGAATACGATTTTCTATAAATTTTATACTAGGAAATAAGAAGGAAATATATTTAAAATTCACGAAAAAGGGAAATAAGGGCGCGGGCATTAGGATGATGTCAGCGCCCGGCGAACGCGAATCGGGCGGAAACAGAGTTCCGCCCGGCGATTCTTACGTAAGCGATTATAGACGATTTAATTAATCAAATTAAGATCTGTAAAAGCCGGAAGAATCGTAATAGAACAAAGTATATTTTGGTAAATTAAAATTACAAAGAAATATCACTAAATGAAGTGTAAAGTAAGTTTAAAGCAGGAAAACAGAGTTCCGGCGTCGCGACGGCGATGCGTCGGCGATGCACCGGAATCCTGAGCGTTCGGAAGGATCGTCGTGCAGTGTCCACGGCCTCGAAGGCTCTCCTTGGACAAAGACGACGTGGGCAATCTCTAGATCTTCTCGCGAAGTCTAGAGATCAATGAAGTGGGTCGTCGAGTCGTCTCCGGCGGCTGTCACTCGGTGGAGCGGAAAAACGACGACTTTGCGGCTCTCCGGCGGCTGTCACCCGACGGAGAGGAGCTGGATGGAGGTGGGGCGCATGTCAGGGAGCTTCATCCTCAGGTCCGTGCAGCAAGAGGAGGCTCTTCATCACATCTGGTACGCTCTCAGGAGGTGGCGACTCGTCTCCCGGCGGATCGTCCTCTTCCCGACGACGGCTTGTTCGTCGATCAATCGGAGATGATTTACTTGATGGATTCGCAATCCTTTTATCGCGAATCGTTCAGAAATTTTAGTAGCAATGCTCCGCGAATCGCGTTGACGAGATTTTCGCCGATGATCCAGCGATTCTGGTTGCTTAATCCTTCACTAGCGATCTGCAGGAAAGTCACGATAATCAGATAAAAATATATGAATTTTGACTCTAGGAGGATTTGAACCCGCGCCGGTTGTCCGCCCCCCCTTCTGAGGAAGGTGTGACGCGGGTTTAGTCCCACATCGGTTGTGCGCCGATTTTTCAGGCGAATATATAGTAATGTTAGCTTTTTAGGCAAAGTCCCTTCTCTCGCGTGTACGACCACTCCTTGCCCCATAGCCGGCTGGCCACCGGTGACGTGGAAGGGGAGTGGCGCACACGTGCCCCTATCGGTCCAAGCTTAAGCCGCTCGAGCCCCTGCTCGCGGCTACGCCTGACTGCGCTTCCGACCCACTTGCGGGCCCGGCTGGCCGGCGGGTCCCCCCATTTTGCAATATTTTTATTTCTTTTTCTTCATTTATCTCAAAAGTAAGATTGTAAAAATCAGATAAATTCGTATAAAATCACATAATTACCCAAAAATTCACGTTAATCAACTGAAAACCACTTTTCACACTTTAACACAAATATAAGTCTATTTATCACGAGTTAAGGCTAAAACTATATTATTTACTAATTATTAACTCATGATAATGAAGACTTATCACACCCCCCAACTTAAATCATTGCTAGTCCCTTAGCAATGGAATTACGAAAATAAAAATTTACAAATTTCAAACATCATATTTCAATACAAAAAAAATAAAAATACAATTAGAAATGATGCACCTTTAGACACTTTGGACTCTTATATCAAGTCTTTAAGAATAATGTCAAGCACTTAAATGTTTAAACACTCCTTGGAATAACAATCTAGACTTCACTTCTTCTATTCACATCTTTATCACTTCTTCACTCATAGATATATTTACAAGATGTTTCAATTATCAATACTCATCCAAGAATAATATTGATCCTACATTTCCCTTTTTCTATGGCTTGATTTTTGAAGTTTGCACTATATTTCTTCTTTCTTTATATATAGTGGATAAGTAGCTTTTCCTGTAGATAAATTTCGACAATAAGAATGATGTCTCACACCCTCCATGTGTACTCTTCATTTTCAGGGCTTTCACTTTATCCACTTATTTTGCAGCAAGTGTTTTTCTATACACGATTTTCGACAATGAGAATGATGTCTCACACCCTCTATGTGTACTCTTCGTTTCTAGATTTTTCACATTGCTCTCTCTCTTTTTTTTTCGAAATAAGTGATTTCTCCTCACAAGTCTTATAGATCAGGGTGCAAAAATCTCCATTAAACTCAAATGATCAATCAAATTTTCACATCAAGTAAATATTATCCATCAAGATCATGAAGTGAAAATCTGTAAAATCAAATCCATGTTATCTATCATGTATCCAAGGAGTATTCCAACATTTCATGCTACTAGATCATTCTTTTGACTCAATAATAATCTTCCTAGTATCTTTTGGTATCAATCAATCTAATTGATTTAATTTTTCATGCATGCAATATGATGTAAGAGATTTGTAAATTAGATAGTTCTGACAGTTCTGTTTTCTGTTTTCAGTTCTATTTTTAGCAGCAATAAATTTGTCAAAAATAAATCAAAACTATCCTCTTTATAGCTGTAATTTCGAATTTTAGTAATATATATCTAGGGAATTGAAATGTGAGAAAAGGGTCTTCTAGAATTTCAAATTTCGGGCTGTTTTTTGTCTGCTGTTTTTGACAGTCTGTTGTTCCTGACAGAAAACCAGAAAATAGATGTTGCAATTTTTCTGAATTCGGCGATCTTTTTTTTTATTTTTTTAGTTGCTGTTCTAAGTTGAATAAAATGCAAACACATGTTCTTAATCATCCTACAGCATAAATTAACAATGAATACTTCACCCCCCAACTTAAAAATGACATTGTCCTCAATGACACAGAAAAATCGAAACAGAATATGCAGAAAATATAATTTTCAAGTGAAGCATGCATATATGCAAAGTTTAGCATTAAAAATGTTGTCATAAATGATAAAGCTCCGAAAGACATCACCTCAACCTCGTTTTTAATTTTCACTTCGTCTTACATGCCTCCTCCTGCACTTTTTCGAAAAAATAAATATAGAAACAAGTACTGCGAAATTCTAAGAAAAACAGAGCTAAAAAAAAAAAATTAAACAAAATGAAATAAAAACCATGGGTTGCCTCCCATGCAGCGCTGAATTTAATCTCTTCAGCTGGACAGCTCTTAGATCATATAAGATGATCTATGGCCATCAAAATATATTTGTATCCCAAGGTAAGTTTCATGATATTCTTTTTCAGATTTAGCATAAATTCATATACTTCATATATATACCTTGACATACTTTCAGCCAAAACAAGATGGAAATTAACAAAATTTTCCCAAAAATAATATTTCCATTTTGAAAAGAATCTTTCCTCATTTCTATCTTGTTTTGTAAGGCTCTCATTCATTAATAAATACTTCCTATTAATAGACCATAAAATGTGATCAGGCCATATAATTTTCGAATTAGCTCTTACCCAATCTAAATTTTTTTCATCTAAATTGATATCTCTAATTCTTCCACTCACCCATTTCTTAATGTCTTCTTTTATCTGCATAATCTTCCCCTGCTCCATTTTATCTTCCATACATATTTGTTCAATTTATGAGGAGTGAAATATTTCAAGCTTAGAAGTAATTCTAATGGGCTGTGGGTTTTGAAGGATGGAAGGGTTGTCTTCTTTAATCCCAGATCTAATGAATTCAGTAAAATTCAAATTTTCTCCTCCAAAATTATCTCTATATTCATATTCATTATTTTCGTTTCTCCCCATTAGTTGAATCAACTCTTTTTCTAGCTTTTCGTTTCTCAACTCATCAAATTCTTCATCTTCCCAAGAGCTATCTTTTAATTTCGGTATATGATATACATCATCCTCCTCACTATCAACATCCATGGCTGCAAAATTATGATTAGATTTATTAATTTCGTCTCCTACATCAACTGATTTTTTCTCACCTGAAATATGTTTTTCTTCATTTGTGTCCATACTCCCTTCTACTAAAATTTGGATGATTTTTCCATGATCAGCTGCTGTTTCTTCATCTAAGGGCTCTTTCTCCTCATCATCCTCACTATATTCATTCATCAATTGCGAGCAATAAATTATTTTATTTAAATTTTCTGCTACTATATTTTCAGCATTAATATTCTCATTTACTTCTAATGGCTCATCGATTTCTTCTAATAATTAGAAATAAGGATCAGGTAAAATATTCTCACTCAATGTATTCACTAACTTAACATTTTCATTTCGTGGGTTTTTTTCTAAATTTATCCAGCTAGACTCTCCTTGCTGAAATCTTACTGTTGGACAGTTTCCTGAATTTTCTATGGGCGGGCGGACTAGGTGGCTGTCCCTCTTCTCTCTTATTCCCAAGAGCCTCTATAATTTGTTTCTGGTGCAGCATCATTTGGTTCATAGTTTGTTACATCATTTGGCTCATTTGCTGCATCATTTCTATAGTATCATGTTGGGTTTGAGAGGGCTGATTTTTCTAAAATCTGTTTTCTTGTTCTGGACGAAATTCAGAGTTTGAATTGGATCTAAGTGCTTCTAGATTTTGAATATTATTTGGGTTTCGCCATGAAAAATTATTCTCCCAATTAGGATTATAAGAATTAGAAAAATATTCCCTATTTTTACTAAAATCGTGAGGTACCTGTACTTGTTTTTGCCTAGGATGATATTGAAATTCGAAATGATCATTTTCACCATACATAGGATCTGTACTATTTGAATTAAATTGAGGGTTAAGAGGCTTTCTAATATTGTCAATAAGTAAATCAAGTTTTTCTAATCTTTGATTAATCTGATTAACCTCATTTCTAAGTTTAGATTCATTATCATGATGCAATTCATGAATTCCTCTCTTCTTATCCCTGTCATATAATTCAAAAGAGGCTTGATCTCTAGAATTTTCACTTAAATTCTCATAAAGACTGTAAATCTCATTAGGGGTTTTCTCCATAAAAGCTCCTCCACATATAGAATCAACCATATTTCTATATTGTTCTAATAATCCATCATAAAAAATTCTATTGAGCTGCCACTTGGGTATAGCATGCTGAGGACACTTTCTAAGTAAATCTTTGAATGTTTCCCATGTCTTATGTAAAGTTTCTCCTGGTCTTTGAGAAAAATTCCATATATGTTTTCTCATATTTTGAGTTTTTCCTAAGGGATAAAATTTTCGAAGAAAGGCCTGTTCTATGTCTTTCCAGCTAGTTAATTCTCTATCTAATGTGGATAGCCAATGGCTAGCTTTGTCCCAAAGTGTATGAGGGAACAATTTCATCTTAATAATTTCCGGTGTAACTTGAGGGAGATTAACTAAATCACAGACCATATGAAATTTTTCTAAGTGCTGATGAGGTTCCTCTAAAGGCAATCCATGAAAATTAGGGAGCATTTGAAAAATTCCTGGATTTATTTCGAATTTAACATTGGGTGCTAATGGGACTCTAATATTGGATGCTCTTTGAAATGAATCAGGGATATAATAATTTTTCATGGCCATAAGATTTTTCTCAGTTTGACCTGTACTTTCTTCAAGATCTATCAAAATTAATTTTTCTTTCGGATTTTTAGTTTTGAATGAAATAATGAAAGGATTTTCTAGCCTTGGATGCAAGGATCTTCTACCATGCATAAAAATCAATAAATTCGAGGGAAAAATTTAGTAATTGTTACCCTCCTTCAGGATGCTCTAGTCCTTGCCTTGCTTCTTTTCGTTCCCTAAAAAAAATCGGCAAAAAGAAAATAAAACAAGAGTTAAATTTTTTTTGTGTACTCTAAGAGAAAAACAGAAAAATACTAAATATTATGCAATACATCCCCGGCAATGGCGCCAAAATTTGACGTGACTCAGTCGTTGTATATTAAATCACGCAAATATAAAATTTATAAAACTAGAAAATACGAATTTTTGGATATTTAGAAGTATTTTTAAATAAATATATCAATTATAATTCAATAAAAATTCCAAAAATAGCGGTAATTTTCCAGGTCGATCACAGGGATGTAATATAATATCTGGTAATTATTCAGAAATTTTCTCAATGAATACGATTTTCTATGAATTTTATACTAGGAAATAAGAAGGAAATATATTTAAAATTCACGAAAAAAAAGGAAATAAGGACGCGGACGTCAAGATGACGTCAGCGCCCGGCGAACGCGAATCGGGCGGAAACAGAGTTCCGCTCGGCAATTCTTGTGTAAGCGATTACAAATGATTTAATTAATCAAATTAAGATCTGTAAAAGCCGAAAGAATCGTAATTGAACAAAGTATATTTTGGTAACTTAAAAACACAAAAATTATCACTAAATGAAGCGTAACGTAAATTGAAAGCAGGAAAATAGAGTTCCGGCGTCGCGACGACGATGCGTCGGCGATGCACCGGAATCTTGAGCGTTCGGGAGGATCGTCGTGCAGTGTCCACGGCCTCGAAGGCTTTCCTTGGACAAAGACGACGTGGGCAATCTCTAGATCTTCTCGCGAAGTCTAGAGATCAATGAAGTGGGTCGTCGAATCGTCTCCGGCGGCTGTCACCCGGCGGAGCGGAAAAATGGCAACTTTGCGGCTCTCCGGCGACTGTCACCCGACGGAGAGGAGCTGGATGGAGGTGGGGCGCGTGTCAGGGAGCTTCATCCTCAGGTCCGCGCAGCAAGAGGAAGCTCTTCATCGCATCTGGTACGCTCTCAGGAGGTGGCGACTCGTCTCCCGGCGGATCGTCCTCTTCCTGACGACGGCTTGTTCGTCGATCAATCGGAGATCATTTACTCGATGGATTCGCGATCCTTTTATCGCGAATCGTTCAGCAATTTTAGTAGCAATGTTCCGTGAATCGCGTTGACGAGATTTTCGCCGATGATCCAGCGATTCTGGTTGCTTAATCCTTCACCGGCGATCTGCAGGAAAGTCGCGATAATCAGATAAAAAGATATGAATTTTGACTCTGGGAGGATTCGAACCCGCGCCGGTCGCCCGCCTGTGAGGAAGGTGTGACGCGGGTTTAGTCCCACATCGGTTGTGCGCCGATTTTTCGGGCGAATATATAGTAATGTTAGCTTCGGAAGCAAAGTCACTTCTCTCGCGTGTACGACCACTCCTTGCCCCACAGCCGGCTGGCCACCGGTGACGTGGAAGGGGAGTGGCGCACATGTGCCCCTATCAGTCCAAGCTAAGCCACTCGAGTCCCTGCTCGCGGCTACTCCCGACTGTGCTTCCGACCCGCTTGCAGGCTCGGCTGGCCGGCGGGTCCCCCCATTTTGCAATATTTTTATTTTTATTTCTTGTTCTTCATTTATCTCAAAAGTAAGATTGTAAAAATCGTATAAAATCACATAATTACCCAAAAATTCACGTTAATCAACTGAAAACCACTTTTCACACTTTAACACAAATATAAGTCTATTTATCATGAGTTAAGGCTAAAACTATATTATTTACTAATTATTAACTCATGATAATGAAGACTTATCAATCTCCACATGAAATTTTCGCAATACCTGTGAGAAAATCAATATTCATCTTTACTGTATGTAAAAATGGTCTCTCTAGAATGATTAGTGTATCATAAAACTGTCTATTAAAATACATTTTCAGTACTACAAAATAAGTTGGAAATTTACACCTTTTAACTATCACTATCTTATTTTCTAAAGTACTTTTAAGATATTTTATGGATCTATCAGTAAATTTTAAGGTAACAGTAGAAGGTTTAAGATCAGCAATATTAAATTTATCACAAATATTTGTAGGTAATAAATTAATACTAGCACTGGTGTCAAGTAATACATTCTGAAAAATAGATCCACCAATATCACATGAAATTAAAGGGGCACTAGTATCTCTCAATTTATATGGTAATTGATTAAATAATAAAGCACTAGCATGCATAGATAATTTTTCTACTCTAGGTGGTTTTTTTGGTATACACATTTCTTTCAAAATTCTAACATATTTAGGAATATATTTAGTGATAGTGAGTAAAGGAAGACTAATTCGCACTTCTTGTAAAATTTTATTTATTTCTTAATTGTGTTCTTTTTTATTTCTTTGTCTAGGCTCTAGAGCTTTAGGAAATGGAATGGTTGTCCTCTCTTTTAGAATTTCCTTGATATAATCTATAAAATCTTCTTCTACTCCTATTTGATTTTGTTTTGGGCTGTCCACGTTCTCCTTCTAATGTTTGGAGATAAATATTAAATAAAATCTTCCCACTCCTTAATACATTCACTGTCCTAACATTTTCATTTCGTGAGTTTTCTCCTAGATTCATGTTACTAGACTCTCCTTGCTGAAATCCTATTGTTGGGCGGTTCCCTAGATTTTCTATGAGCTTAGGTAGTGGTCCCTCTTCTCTCTTATTCTCAAGAGCCTCTATAATTTATTTCTGCTGCAACATTATTTGATTCATAGTTTGTTACATCATTTGACTCATTTGCTGCATCATTTTCATAGCATCAGGTTGGATTTGAGAGGGCTGATTTTTCTGAAATTTATTTTCTTATTTTGGACAAAATTCAGATTTTGAATTGAGTCTAGGTGCTTTTGGATTTTGAATATTATTTGGGTCTCTCTATGAAAAATTATTTCTTCAATAAGGATTATAAGAATTTTAAAAAGGCTCCCTATTTCTATTAAAACCGTGAACTACTTACACTTATTCTTGCATAGGGTGAAATGATTGATCTAAATTATAGCATTGAAATTCAGAATAATTATTTTCATCATACATAGGACATGTACTATTTGAATTAAAGTGAGGGTTTAGAGACTTTCTAATATTGTCAATAAATAAGTTAAGTTTTTTTAATCTTTGATTAATTTGATTAACGTCATTTCGTAAGTTAGAATCATTTTGATGATACAATTCATAAATTCTTCTCTTCTTATCCTTGTCATATAATTTAAAAGAGGCTTGATCTCTAAAATTTTCACTTAAATTCTCATAAAGACTATAAAGCTCATGAGGGGTTTTCTCCATAAAAGCTCCTCCACATATAGAATCAACTATATTTCTATGTTGTTCTAATAATTTATCATAAAAAAATCTATTGAGCTACCACTTAGGTATTACATGATGAGAAGACTTTCTAACTAAAGTTTTGAATTTTTCTCATGTCTCATGCAAAGTTTCTCCTAGTTTTTGAGAAAAACTCCATATATATTTTCTCATATTTTGAGTTTTTTCTAAGGGATAAAATTTTCAAAGAAAGGCTTATTCTATATCTTTCCAGCTAGTTAATTCTCTATCTAATGTGGATAGCCAATGACTAGCTTTGTCCCTAAGTGTATAAGGAAATAATTTCATCTTAATAATTTTCGGTGTAATTTGAGGGAGATTAACAAAATCACAAATCATATGAATTTTTTTTAAATGCTGATGAGGTTCCTTTAAAGGGAATCCATAAAAATTAAGGGGCATTTGAAAAATTTCTAGATTTATTTCAAATTTAATGGCGGGTGCTAATAAGACTCTAATATTGGATGCTCTTTGAAATAAATCATGAAGATAATGATTTTTCATGGCCATAGGATTGTTCTCAATTTGACCTGTACTTCCTTCAAGATCCATCAAAATTAATTTTTCTTTCAGTTTTTTAGTTTTGAATGAAATAATGAAAGGATTTTCTAGCCTTGGATGCAAGGATCTTCTACCATGCATAAAAATCAATAAATTTGAAAAAAAAGTTTAATAATTGTTACCCTCCTTTAGTATGCTCTAGTCTTTGCCTTGCTTCTCTTTGTTCCTTTTTTTTAAAAAAAAATTCGACAAGAAGAAAATAAAATAAGAGTTAATATTTTTTGTGTACTTTAAGAGAAAAACAGAAAAATACTAAATATTATGTAAATCATGCAAATTTAAAATTTATAAAACTAGAAAGTACTAATTTTCAGATATTTAGGAGTATTGCTAAACAAATATATCAATTATAATTTAATAAAAATTCCAAAAATAGTGATAATTTTCCAAGTCGATCATAGGGATGTAATATAATATTGCGTAATTTTTGAAATTTTTTCTCAAAGAATACGATTTTTTATGAATTTGATACTATGAAATAAAAATAAAATATATTTAAAATTCACGAAAAAGGAAAATAAGGATACAGACATCAGGATGACATTAGCGCCTAACGAATGCAAATTGGGTGGAAGCAGATCACAGTGGTGATGCGTCGGTGATGCACTAGAATCCTGAGCATTCGGGAAGATCATCGTGTAGTGTCGATGGCTCTTCTTTGGACAAGGAGGATGTGGACAATCTCTAGATCTCCCTGCGAAGTCTAGAGATCAATAAAATGGGCCGTTAAATCATCTCCAGCAGTTGTCACCCTATGGAGAAGAGTTGGATGGAGGTGTGGCGTGTGTTAGGGAGTTTCATTCTTAGGTCCATGGAACAAGAGGAGACTCTTCATCGCATCCGGTATGCTCTTAAGAGGTGGCGACTCATCTCCTGATGGATCATCCTCTTTCCGATGACGGGTTATTCATCGATCAATCGGAGATGATTTACTCGATGGATTCGTGATCCTTTTATCGTGAATCGTTCAACAATTTTAGTAATAATGCTCCGCAAATTGTATTGACAAGATTTTCGCCAATGATCTAGTGATTTTGACGGCTTAATCCTCACCAGCGATCTACAGGAAAGTAGTGATAATCAGATAAAAATATGAGTTTTGACTCTAAGAGGATTCGAACCCGCACCGGTTGCCCGACTGTATGAGAGAGATTGAAATAAGTACTATAATACCCTTATCAAGTGACGTCATCATGATATATCTCTATTATAATGAAAGGGTAGTTTAGGTATTAAAATCTTCGAAGTCTTTTAGGGAAAGGTGTGACGTGGGTTTAATCTCACATCATTTGTGCGTCAAAGTTTTGGGTGAATATATAGTGAGCCACTAGAGATGAACCGAGGTGATGTGTGTTAGTGGCTTGACAATTAATGGGCTTGATGCTTTAAAGTATCCATGTGATGACGTTTGAAATGAGCTGTGAACATGTTGCATACGAGGGGTCCGGAAGGCTAGGTGGGTCTTTCGAGAGGTGATGGATTGTAATTATCTGAGATCTAAGGAAGAATTTGAAGCCAGATGGCCACGATGCATAACTATGGCTATTGAAGATATACGCCGGTCAAGTAAGTTGCACCATGATGGAGTGGCGAGTTAGAGGAACCACTGGAGAAGGGAGAACACTAGCTTGAAGAAGCTCAGAAGGCTCAGAGGCAGGCGGCAGGTCCGGGCCGAAGGGCCAAGTGGTGGGGTGAGTAGGTCAGGGCCCGACGGGCCGGTCTGGAAGGGCAGGCAAAGTTGGCTGGGGCTGACTGGGCCACGCTGGGATTGTGGATCCACGTGGAGCCAGCGGGTTCAGCTGGGCTGGTCTTGAGTGGGCTGGTTTGGAAGAAAACCATTGGCTGACTTGCCGAGAGATGGGGAAAACCCTAGCCACTGTGGTCAGATGGCGATGACGAGGGATAGGTGCTACGGCAAGGGAGCAATGGCAAGGGCGCAATGGCAAAGAGGGACCTTGATAAGTCTTCATTATCATGAGTTAATAATTAGTAAATAATATAGTTTTAGCCTTAACTCATGATAAATAGACTTATATTTGTGTTAAAGTGTGAAAAGTGATTTTCAGTTGATTAATGTGAATTTCTAGGTAATTATGTGATTTTACATGAATTTATATGATTTTTACAGTCTTACTTTTGAGATAAATGAAGAAA